AGTTCCTGGGCTGAAGATTTATATCTCTTGAGCAGCAGTAAATTTCCCCAGAAAAGCTAAGCCTTTTCTCATTAGTCCAACCTGTCTTACATTGTCCTAGAGTCTTTTTCATGCAGCAGGTGTCTTTATTGGTACTTAAACTGAGCTTGAAATAAATTGGAATAAACTAAAGTATCACATAGATATTTGGAAATAAGCTAGCCAAATGTTGCAGAAAAATGCAATTAATTTCCCCATGCTGTAGAGGCCCCACTTGAAAGAGTTTAATTTTTATTACTTTCCAAAAGGAGAAGAGCTTCAATTCATAAAAATCTCCAAATCTTTTTTATGTCCTTGTGTGAAACATGCTACAGGAACACAAAATGTGATTGTTTCTCTGTAGTGAAACTGGAGGTGTTAATGTTCAAGTGTTTCACAGGATATCGATATAACAATACACAGAAGAATTTATGGTAATTATACCTTTTTTTCAGAACATGCTTATGCGCAGTGCTATTTATCTTTTATTCTTTCACTTTTTTTTGTAAACAACAGTACTCAACGACAAATATCAGCAGAAAGCAGCAGAGACTGAGAAAATGTTTCAAAGTGCTCAGTGGCAGTGGGAGGAGGAACAACAAAGATTTGCAGTGGAGAGGGATAACATCCGCAGAGTATACCTTGCTGAGATGGAATTCCTTATTGAAGAAAAAATGAAAACAGAAAGGACTTGTCCGGTATGATGTATTAATAGATGGAAACTTTCATGAGATGTTGGCTGAAGGTTTTTTTGGTGCAAAGTGTGTGGTTGGGGTTTTTCTGATTTAAGGGAAAAAAAATTCCCCAAATAGATAAATACTGTAGAATAGTTCTGAAGATTACAGCTTTATGAAGTTGCAGTTTGTGTGTAATGACGGTTTGGGGCTTTGATGGAATGTGTTGTGGCTGTTTGCCGTGGTAAACACCTAACTCAAGTAGTAGTGAAAAACAAAGGAATTTGTGGAAAAGACTTGAGGTCCTTCTCAAAACAAGCAGAAACACAAGTCAGGTTTTATTCAAAGCTGATTCTTATAAAGGTGGGGCAGGATATAGGCTGTGAAGAAGCCTACTTTTAGATAGAGCTGTTTTGTTTTTTTTTTTTGAAGTGGACAGGTAGAGCAGGGCAAACTCTGAATTTTGGCTAATAGTAAGTGGCTGACTTAGTTTGAGGAGGCTCTGGAAGGGTATTGCCTTCTGTTGTGTACAGTGCTTTGTAGAGTTACCTTCAGGGAGTTAAATGTTGCATCAAAAAAAAAGGTGAAAAAGTTTGCTGTGCTCTGTCAAGTGATGTTTGTCCTCAAAAAAGGACAAAAGAGCAGTGGATGGCTTGTGACATTGTGTTCTCTGTCAGTTCCCTGTCAGTGTTCTCTGCCAGTGGCTGTGGAGGAAGGGGTTTTGTTGGTAAATGTATTAAAGCTACAAAATTGTAGGAAATGTAATGCACATGGGTAGGCTAAGATTGCCATGAATACATCAAGCTCATTAAACAGGTAGCATGAGCTGTAGGGTGTCAAAATCTCTGAACGCAGAAGTATTTCAGAATTTTCAAAACTCTCTGAAAGGAAAATGAGGTTCACTAACTACTAGGTGCTAAACCCTAACCCACCTTCAGCAGTAGAAAAGTTTCGTTTTTCCACTTTGCTTTTGTAGCTGTTCCCCTGCCCATCGTCACCCTACAGTTATGTTATAGATAGTTATAAAGTTCCGGGAAATAAAAAAATGTTAAACCTGGACTTGACTGCATTAGTTGTTGCTTGAATGGTTAATTAATTTAAACTTGTCAGATAAACATCAGAAACATGTGGGTTTATAAATTATGACTTTGAATGTATTGCAGTCTTTTGTGTTGAGTATTTACATGCCTGGTTTAAATCTCCTTTAATTATTCAGAGTTGTAAAATGAAAGCTAAGGAGATTTAATTGTGGTCTTAATACGTGCAGAGAAGTGGGATTCTGAGCATGTAGGCAAGTCCTGGCTGGAAAAACTGCCTAATTCCGAACTTGGCTGTGAAAGTGCTGAGGTAGGCATTGGAGTGGAGTCAGTATTGAAAAGTGTCTCTGGGGCACACCGGAAAAGCCACCCTCTCTGCTCTGTGACAGGTTCATGGTGAGCTCTGTTGGGCATATCCTGGTCCGGGATAGGTGTTGGAGTTCGATAAGGAAGGGCAATAGCATCACCTCCTGGTTAGGCAGGAAATATATCCCTTCATGTTTTTTTCATTAGAGCACTTGAGAGATTGTGTCGTTTTTACATGGCTTAAAAAAAAAAAAAAAAGAGACGAGCCATGTTTTTCATGACAAATATTTGCTATGGGGATAGTATTAAACAGTCATGCCACCCTGAAAAGTTCAGAAATTCTTCAAAACTCTGAAAACCTGCAGCTCATGCTGACTTGTTTCATATAATTCGTTTAATATAGTTTGATATAATCATGAAAATTTGAGTTTGCTAATATTAATTACATATCCAGTATAAAATGTTTTGGTTTTTTTTGTAGTATTTCACAGCAAACTGTTACTTCTTTCAAATTTCCCAGTTCACTTTTGTTAATACCTGGAAGATGAACCTGAAGAAATAAATATTTCTATATCTTTTGAGGCATATATTTCTGTAGAAATGGTTAATTTTCATTTATTTATTTATTTATTTAGCATTCCAAAGGGGAGAAACCTGTCTTGCTGGACATGCAAAGCTAGAGGATTAGCTTACACTTAGTACAAATTCATATGGAGTATGGGCATTTTGTAGCAGTGACTTCACAGAACTGCAGAGCCCAGTAATGTCAATAATTCTCCCAACCTGTAGTTTAATTCAGTTGCTGTAGGCATAAATTGAAGTGGGGACCAGCTTATTTTATTCAATTGAGGACTTTGTATTTCATGAGTTTTTTAAGTAGTTCAGTTTCTAGATTTTCCTTTTCAGAATAGCAGACATTAAAATTATTTAGTCTGTGGGAGTAACTGTTTCTAAAAACATCTAATTTGATGTTCTAGCAATTTCATTCAGAACAAAAATTAACTTTTGTCCCCATGCATCATTTCACCAAATTTACCCTGTTTCTGTCATTGCCACTGAGCTGGGAGACAGAAGAGATCGGAAGGGCCATACTCTTTTCGGGAAAGATTTCCTATGGAGATCTGGCTCTGATTTTAGTGTTGCCACAGAAGGTCATGTTCACAGTGATTTTTGGGCCAACACAGATTTCTTGGTGGTGAATTAAAAGCATGTCTGCTGTTGGGTAACCACTTCTGCTGACATATGCTGGTGTCTTAGTTTTTGAAATTCTAAAACCTTCCTCTGATGCAGTCTCCACTACTCTGTTGAACTCTCTACTGTTTTAGTAAAGATAATACTTTATTTTAGAAAAAGTACCTCTTGATGTATTTATTTATTCATTTACCTATTTATCTTTAGGAAATGAATACTGTCCTGAAAAACATGCTCAGGAAGTTGAGGGATATAGAGGCAGAGCACCATGGCTGCAGCCAGATGCTGAAGCTCCAGGCCAATCGTCTGGATTTCAAGGAAAAACGTCAGGAGAGGCTCATCAAGGAACTGGAGGTAAAGCTTTCCCTGATGCTAGAAGTCTCAGCAAGCATGGGAACAATGAATCAGTTTAATTTCTGATGGGTGGAACCTCTGAGTTGGGCTATGAGTACCTTGTATTTGATTAACAAAAATATGGAGCATCAGTTTTGTAGAAAAGATAAAAACTGGTGTTTGAGCAGCAGATGGGAAGAGGTTTATGTCACTGGGAAAATGCTCTTAGCAATATAGAGGTATAGAGGGAGTATTTGTGCATGTTATGTTTATTTTTTAATTAAGTATGTTAAGCAGTTAAATCTTGTGGTAGGAGGCAAAGCTTATGCCTTTTGGCTGATGTTGTGGAGCAGATATGGTAAGCCTGTGCTGTTGCTGACTTTCTCTTTAGTAGGCCTTCCACAAGTCTCTGTTTCTCAATTATTTTGTTTTGTGAATGTGTGAGGTTACACAGAGTTTAAATGTATTGCCAACAGCTCGTATTTTAAAATTTTTGTATATTTTTTTGTTAATGTTTCCTTACTGAAGTGCTCAGAGTCAGGATGCAGTCTCACATACTTTCTACTTTGCTTTAGCTGTGCAAAATCAATTACTTCACTTGTATCTATGCAGCCTTAAGTGTCTTAAATGACTTTCAATATTAATGTCTTTTTCTTGATCTTTGTTGCATCACTTGAAGGCAGGAGTCATCTTGGGGTGTATTGTCTTTTTCAAAACAGTCATCAATCTAAGCGAAAAGATTTTTTAAATAGAAAACAGTGTAGTTAAAATTGCATATAGATTTCTATTACAGCAGCTCTGTAGTTACTGCTTTTGCTGAAAGCAGTTTTTCAATTTAAATTCTATGTCCATGTCATTATATGGAGATAGGTATCTGTGATTATTAAAAACGCAGCAAGAACATAATCCTATATCAATTTTTTTAGTTAAACAGAAAATACTGTTCTAATATTCTGGATATGGTTTTTTATTTCTTTTATTTATTTACTAATATGAATTTCCACAGTTCCAAAGTGCAAGTAGTTCAGATACCACGGGTTGGTTTATGGAGACCTGATAAACTGAACAAATGAAGTTTTCTTTGCATGATGTTATCATCTTTCTGGACTTAAATATTTTCAAAATGTGCTTTTAGGCAGCTACAGTGAAAACAAAGAAACTGGAGGAAAATGCTGAAGCAGCGAGACTAGCACATATAGAATGTAAATACACGACAGAAATCATGCAGGTAAACTTTTTATTAAATATTTGGTAGAAATTTACAGTAACACAGAAGATGAACTAGTAAAAGTACTATCTTCCAAAAATGTTGACTTCCTTACTTCAATGAAAACACTGAGTAGATTTTTTGCAATGAGTGTCAAAGTTGTAAAAGATAATAGAAAAATGTCTCCTTTTTTCAGGCAACTATCAAGTTAATAGAATAAATACTAAAATAAAACGTCACATTCTTATGTTTGAGAATTCAAAGTAGTATTAACGCAGTAAGGGGAAAGGAAATGTTTCGCAACTGTTAAAATATCAAGTCCTATATCTTTGGAATGGACTTAGATATTTTTGGAGATATAGTGCATACATCCAGCTTCTCTAGGTGTGAGATATTATTGCATCCTGAGACTGCAGTTCCAAATGTATTCAGAGTACCTTTCAGTTTCAAAGCTACTATGTCTGTAGCAAAGCTACTATGTCTGTAGTTTCCAGAGAAGTTTGAATTTACAAAAAAATGTAATATATATACCTGAATATTAAATTATTGTGTTATTAAACTGTATCACACAGGGTTTGAGCCATTCAATAAATTAGTTTATTTTAAAAAACAAGTGTGAAAAGCCTGTAAGATGATTGCTGACTGATCTCATACTGACTGACAAAGTCTTCACACTGGATTTTTGAAAAACTAAATGAGAAAACAAACAGGAATTTCATCTTTTCTTTTCTTGTTTTCTGAGGAACACAAAAACACATTGCCACTTTTTCAGTCAGTTATTTTCTTATGACCTTCTCTAAGTACAGGTACTTAAATTTCTTGAAGTGATGATTAAATAAGTAGGGATGACTTAGTTTTCTTGATTCACTCTCTGCTTTCATAACATACAAAGGAATTGGAAGGCTAACATTACCTGAAGGTAGAGATTTTTCTTTTATGGTTAAGAGCTGGTAAGGTTTTCTTAATTTTTTATGATGAACAAGCTCCACATGAGTTTTTTTTGAGTGTAAGTGTAGCTTTTACTGCTAATCCCACCCTTTCATGAGCCTGCTTAAAAAGATAGGATTTCCTGGAAAACGTCAGTAATATAAATAATTGAAAACAGGAAAATCCAAACACCACGAAAGGACAACAAAAGGACAACAATTTTGGTCAATATATCTATTTCTCTCTGTTTTGAGCTGTATGAAGTAATACATTTTCACATATGTTCAGTGCTTTCTAATTCCATATAGAATTAATAGAATATATTCACCTGTAAAAAGCAGAACAGAACAGTGAACAGCATTAAAGACCATGATAGTCTTTTCTAACTTCCTTTAACTGCTTTCTTATCACTTGGTAGTTAAGAATTCAAGAACTTGAAGATGCTCTGAATGAAGAGCAAGGCGGCAGGAGAGAAGCTTTTATAGTGGTAGCACAGAAAGATTTCAGAGAGTCAGAAAATGCACAGGAAAGAGGAAAAAAAGAGTAAGTTTCCTTCTAAAGCCATCATAAAATGGCAGTAAACAGCTTGAGTACAACTCATAGTTTACATTCCCTGCAGTTTTCAGTCAGCAGAAAATCTAGTGCAATCTGCCAAACCAAGCCAAAGGGTCAGAACCTGGCAGTCCATTAATAACAGTCCCATATCGGTAACCAAAGTATTGTGAATGTGTACAGATGATAACTGGCCTGTCACAGATTATTTGCCAAACCAAAAATTTTGAAAATCATAGTTATGATAGAGTCCAGCCTCCAGCAGTGGTTGGGGCAGCAGGTCTAGAAAAGATGGCTTTTCTAAATACGCTTGAATTATTATGCAAACATTGTTTTCCACTTCAGCAAGCCAGTTGAATCTCTTAAGACTCAGAGGAAATCACCTGGGATATGTTTCCTGCCCAGCACAGTCTGCTCTGTGTGTGGTAACAGAACTTGGGTGACCTCTCTTTCAGCCTAGAACTGTATGGGTCTGTATACACAGGTGTTCATGTTGAGTTACACGATGAGTAGTAGAGAATGAAAGAAGCTGGTTTTCCTACAAGAAAGAAAGTTTGCGGCCTGAGCAACTCATTCAAGATTCATGGTTATGCAGATGTTTTTAGTAAGATACTTCAAACTTGAGCTTTAAAAGCCTTTGTCATCCTATGCAAATATCAATTTTAAGCAAGCGTTTGGCTTGCCTGACACCATGCCTAAATACTCAGGCAATCTTTTTAAATTCTTGGATTCCTGTCTCTGTTTCTGTCTCCTTTGTGCTGTTGTCTGGCCTTGTAGTTTTCTCATCAGCTGCCTGTTTAGTCATGCCAGGCTCTTGTGTATCTGTTTTCCTGACTGACACAGTCAGATTAAAATTCTGGGTAGTCTGCTTTAGAAATCAAACCAGAGCATGTGGAAACCTTAGGAGCAAGAACTGTACATGAAATCAGGGTTGATGATGCAAGAGGTGACATGGTCTCTCTGAAGAGAGCTATTGTCATAATTAAACTATGAAGAATTCTGTTTGTTATATAAAATTTCAAGGCCATATCCAAATAATCAATTGAATTTCATGACATGAGGCTTGGAAACTGAAAACATAACCACTTGAAAAGTCTT